TTTTCTTGTCACTTCTGGATATCAGTCATTGCCAAAATCTTCCTAATTGTTTGAACACGCGCTATTGTTCTCCGTTCGTAGCCATATAGAAGGCGATCCGCAATCTTTTCACCTCCGTTTGTCGTTTGAATGATATTGTTCTAAACATAGCTGCCTATTCTGATTGCCATTTTGTCTTTAGTCAACCATTTCAAGGGTTGTGACACGTTTTCATGGCCACCGTAGTAGCCATGAATATGCATTATCTCATGATCTTTTTCGGTTATTGTTCCATTCGCAGAGAGCTGCAAAAATTACTTTAAATCTCAGTTGCATGTCCAAAGGCAATTTGCTAAATATTTGTATCTAAAAAACGTAAGTTTATAAATCTAAAGTTGGTCAGTAAAATAGTTATGCTTACAGAGTACAATAAGGATTAAAAACTACAGCCCCACAACGTTTATTCTGCATCTTCTAAATATTCGCTTCAGTCTCGAATCAAGTTTGTGTGGGTGGGAAACAGTCGTCGATTCCGTGTTCCAGTGGTTGTCCACAAGGTACCTATTGTCGAGAAACCAGCTGCTGCCCCATTCTACGTGCCGGAATCATACCGTCTATTCCTGTTATACCACCAATCGGTAGCAGCTGCGTAGCACAAAATCGTTGACAATGCTTCATGCGCATCGCATTTAGGCTTCGACGTGCCTATCCGATGCCCTAATGGCGTTGTGCCGACCGAACGGTGCGAAACCAAGTGCTCAACTGAAATGATTTGCTACCAGAAGTGGTGTTGTCCAGCTGAACAAGAATTGCAGAAAAGTAAGCTTAACTTTTCCAACATAAAGTCACAGGAGGCGTTTTTCTCTTGCAGCTGCTCGATGGTGTGCTGGAGGCGGCACAGCGATTGGAAGCTGCTCAGACGGCTGTCCAGCAAATGCGGTGTGCGAAAACAACGTGTGTTGCTCGTATTCGGAACTGTTCCTAGGTTTGCCGTTAGCTTTGTTTGCAAAACCTTTTCTACGTATTCTATTCAGCTTGCTCAAGTGGACTCTCACCTGTGCAATCATGTTTCAGTGGTTGTCCGACGGGGACGGTGTGTGAGCCTGCCGGCTGCTGTAAGATACAACCTGATTTACAGCCGATGTTCGTACATGGACCAGTGGGCCGGCCAATATTTCCCGGATTGCTGCCTTACGGAAAGGTGTCTACTTTCGAAAGTGAAATTGAAAGATACCTGACGAACGTTGGCTACGTGCAGTCAGGGAACCTTCATTTACAAAGTATTGCGAATGCTATTCAGGAGTTTTTCAAAACTATCGTGCAGTTTAAGATCTGCTTATGCCTTGTCCGGATGGAAGCATGGCCATTCAGCGCTGCTCTCCAGGTTGTCCCATTGGTTACGCATGTCGTAACGAAGGCTGTTGCCGGATGCCGCCCTGTCCAACTGGCGGCCTGGCCACAAACTGGTGCAACAGTCCATTTGACTGTCATCCTTTTCAGGATTGCATTCAGAGCGTGTGTTGTTCGAAGTCGCTGCGTCTGTGTCCTACTGGCCAACTGCCATTGCTTCCTTGTGACAACCTTGGAATCTGTTTTCTAGGCTTGCAGTGTATAGAAGGAGGCTGTTGTCCGGCAGTATCATGTCCGAGAGGTCTTAATAGCGTTGGCCCCTGTGGCATCGGCGGTTTGTGCCCTCCTGGCTCTCAATGTGCAGGCGGTCTCTGCTGTCCGTTCTCGACTTGTCCTGGTGGTAGATTACCACTTCGTAGTTGTGGCAGCGCAGATGCTCCCTGCTCAGATGGTCTGTCATGCATTGTACGTACGAAATTTGTCTTTTCAACCGGTCAACATATATTCTGCTTCCAGAACGGCGGTTGCTGTGCCGAAAGTCCGTTCGTTTGTCCTTCCAATTTACCAGCCTGGCAAACTTGCAGCCAAGGCAGCGATTGTGCACCCGGATTCTATTGTCTAAATGGATACTGCTGCTCTGAACCAACCGCATACCGCTGCCCAAATAGCATGCAGCCAATCTGTTCATGTTCGCCTTCAAACACATGCCCAATCGGGGCAAGCTGTATCGAGGGTACATGCTGTATGCCAAGTAAGTCAGACAGCTGTGGTTCCATCTTTGCAAACACACATGTGTGATCCAGTGGCAGTACTTCTGAAGAAGCTTTAGAATTTAATTATGCTCATATGCGATAAATAGTTTCAGGCTGATTTGAACTCATTTTAATAAGGACACAGAGAAAGATAGAAATACCGCGTTTGCTGCATTTTCTAAACTCTTAGTATTATAACAGAGACATTTAACTGATTTGCATGCATATCTGAATTTTAGTGAGTTAAACGGCTAGATTTAAACTAAAATATGCCTGAAGTTGCTGACTCTCGTTGATGTGGTTGTAGAAATGTTCCTTACTTTTCTTTTCAGGAAATAGTCCATTTTGGGGTGGGCAGCTACCTGGAGGTCCGTGCATTCGTTCGGACCAGTGCAATGGATTTGCCATCGGAACAGCGACATGTAACTATGGCTTTTGTTCATGCGTCCCCAATTCGTGGTCGAACGGTATTTCCTGCGCTTTCGGCGCTCCTCCCCGGTGGAGTCCGCTGACCGCTTGTTCACAGTTCGCCAAACCGTGTACGATTGCGCTTCACAGACGGGCGAGAAAACCGATTCTCAAAGCGGACTTCAACAAGGACACTGAAGCAGGTTGAATTTGTTATAGATTTTGAATTTCAATTTATTATAATATATTATACGTACTGTATGAGTGTCCTTAATTCTAATTCCTAATCCTTTCGTCTTATATGCTATTGTATTTACAGAAGACTAACTGAAGTTGATTTACTTATATGCTGCCGTAGAGAATGATTCATAAGCTTTATTACAGTCGGTGTACCGCAGTTCGCCCCACTCTTTTGCTTCAAAAAGCCTAATGATCTATTTA